CTTACAACACACACACACACACACAGAACACACAACACAAACACACACACAGATATAGAAAACTGACTGGGTGAAAGAGGAATAGAGCGATAGAGGGATCATGAAATAACAAACAATGTGTTGAGTGCTATTTTGTGTCAAAGGGGGGATGAGAGAGGAAGTGCATTTAGCTCTCATACTGTAAACTTGTGACTAAAGCCTTAACCGCAGTGTGTGTGTGTGTGTACATGCAACTGTCTTTGTGTGTGTGTGTGTGTGTGCGTGTGTGTGTGTGTGTGTGTGTGCGTGCATAGCCATAGTGTGGCCATAGGATGTGGTCGTATTGTTCTGGTGAGATGCTATTTGTAGGAGTGTGTTTACTCCTTTACTGCCTGGCTGGCTAGTGAGTCTGCTGGTATTGAATAGCACACAGCTTGTTGGACTTGACTTCAGTTAGTCTGAATATTCAGCCTCAACAATCAATTACAGTATAAGAGATGATTGTTCTGTTCATGATTTGATGGCAAGACCAAAGACCTCTGAGACATTTTTCAAAATGAACCACAAAACTCCAAAAATGTTGTTAGTCTGTTCAGTCTTACATACAGTACCAGTCAAAAGTTTGGACACACCTACTCATTCAAGGCTTTTTCTTTATTTTTACTATTTTTTTACATTGTAGAATAACGGTAAAGACATCAAAACTATGAAAGAACACATATGGAATCATGTAGTAACCAAAAAAGTGTTCAACAAATCAAAGTATACAGTGGGGAAAAAAAGTATTTAGTCAGCCACCAATTGTGCAAGTTCTCCCACTTAAAAAGATGAGAGAGGCCTGTAATTTTCATCATAGGTACACGTTAACTATGACAGACAAAATGAGAAGAAAAAAAATCCAGAAAATCACATTGTAGGATTTTTAATGAATTTATTTGCAAATTATGGTGGAAAATAAGTATTTGGTCAATAACAAAAGTTTCTCAATACTTTGTTATATACCCTTTGTTGGCAATGACACAGGTCAAACGTTTTCTGTAAGTCTTCACAAGGTTTTCACACACTGTTGCTGGTATTTTGGCCCATTCCTCCATGCAGATCTCCTCTAGAGCAGTGATGTTTTGGGGCTGTCGCTGGGCAACACGGACTTTCAACTCCCTCCAAAGATTTTCTATGGGGTTGAGATCTGGAGACTGGCTAGGCCACTCCAGGACCTTGAAATGCTTCTTACGAAGCCACTCCTTCGTTGCCCGGGCGGTGTGTTTGGGATCATTGTCATGCTGAAAGACCCAGCCACGTTTCATCTTCAATACCCTTGCTGATGGAAGGAGGTTTTCACTCAAAATCTCACGATACATGGCCCCATTCATTTTCCTTTACACGGATCAGTCGTCCTGGTCCCTTTGCAGAAAAACAGCCCCAAAGCATGATGTTTCCACCCCCATGCTTCACAGTAGGTTTGGTGTTCTTTGGATGCAAATCAGCATTCTTTGTCATCCAAACACGACGAGTTGAGTTTTTACAAAAAAATTCTATTTTGGTTTCATCTGACCATATGACATTCTCCCAATCCTCTTCTGGATCATCCAAATGCACTCTAGCAAACTTCAGACGGGCCTGGACATGTACTGGCTTAAGCAGGGGGACACATCTGGCACTGCAGGATTTGAGTCCCTGGCGGCGTAGTGTCTATACTGATGGTAGGCTTTGTTACTTTGGTCCCAGCTCTCTGCAGGTCATTCACTAGGTCCCCCCGTGTGGTTCTGGGATTTTTGCTCACCGTTCTTGTGATCATTTTGACCCCACGGGGTGAGATCTTGCGTGGAGCCCCAGATCGAGGGAGATTATCAGTGGTCTTGTATGTCTTCCATTTCCTAATAATTGCTCCCACAGTTGATTTCTTCAAACCAAGCTGCTTACCTATTGCAGATTCAGTCTTCCCAGCCTGGTGCAGGTCTACAATTTTGTTTCTGGTGTCCTTTGACAGCTCTTTGGTCTTGGCCATAGTGGAGTTTGGAGTGTGACTGTTTGAGGTTGTGGACAGGTGTCTTTTATACTGATAACAAGTTCAAACAGGTGCCATTAATACAGGTAACGAGTGGAGGACAGAGGAGCCTCTTAAAGAAGAAGTTACAGGTCTGTGAGAGCCAGAAATCTTGCTTGTTTGTAGGTGACCAAATACTTATTTTCCACCATCATTTGCAAATAAATTCATAAAAAATCCTACAATGTGATTTTCTGGATATTTTTTTCTCAATTTGTCTGTCATAGTTGACGTGTACCTATGATGAAAATTACAGGCCTCTCTCATCTTTTTAAGTGGGAAAACTTGCACAATTGGTGGCTGACTAAATACTTTTTTTCCCCACTGTATTTTAGATTTTAGATTCTTCAAATAGCCACCCTTTGCCTTGATGACAGCTTTGCACACTCTTGGCATTCTCTCAACCAGTTTCATGAGGTAGTCACCTAAAATGCATTTCAATTAACAGGTGTGCCTTCTTAAAAGTTAATTGGTGGAATTTATTTCCTTCTTAATGCGTTTGAGCCAATCAGTTGTGTTGTGACAAGGTAGGGGGGGTATACAGAAGATAGCCCTATTTTGTAAAAGACCAAGTCCATATTATGGCAAGAACAGCTCAAATAAGCAAAGAGAAACGACAGCCATCATTACTTTAAGACTTGAAGGTCAGTCAATACGGAAAATGTGCAGTTGCAAAAACCATCAAGCGCTATGATGAAACTGGCTCTCATGAGGACCGCCACAGGAATGGAAGACCCAGAGTTACCTCTGCTGCAGAGGATAAGTTCATTAGAGTTACCAGCCTCAGAATTTGCAGGCCAAATTAATTATTCACAGAGTTGAAGTAACAGACACATCTCAACATCAATTGTTCAAAGGAGACTGTGTGAATCAGGCCTTCATGGTCGAATTGCTGCAAAGAAACCACTACTAAAGGACACCAATAAGAAGAAGAGACTTTGCTTTGACCAAGAAACACGAGCAATGGTAATTAGACCGGTGGAAATGTGTCCTTTGGTCTGGAGTCTAAATTTGAGATTTTTGGTTCCAACCGCCGTGTTTTTGTGAGACGCAGAGTAGGTGAACGGATTATCTCTGCATGTGTATTTCCCACTGTAAAGCATGGAGGAGGAGTTGTTATGGTGTGGGGGTGCTTTGCTGGTGACACTCTCTATGATTTATTTAGAATTCAAGGCACACTTAACCAGCATGGCTACCACAGCATTCTGCAGCGATACGCCATCCCATCTGGTTTGGGCTTAGTGGGACTATCATTTGTTTTTCAACAGGACAGTGACCCAACACACCTCCAGGCTGTGTAAGGGCTATTTTACCAAGAAGGAGAGTGATGGAGTGCTGCATCAGATGACCTGGCCTCCACAATTCCCCGACCTCAACCCAACTGAGATGGTTTGGGATGAGTCAGACCGCAGAGTGAAGGAAAAGCAGCCAACAAGTGCTCAGCATATGTGGGAACTCCTTCAAGAATGTTGGAACAACATTCCAGGTGAAGCTGGTTGAGAGAATGCCAAGAGTGTGCAAAGCTGTCATCAAGGCAAAGGGTGGCTATTTGAAGAATCTCAAATATAAAATATATTGTGTTTAACACTTTTTTGGTTACTACATGATTCTGTTATTTCATAGTTTTGATGTCTTCACTATTATTCTACAATGTAAAAAATAGTAAAAATAAAGAAAAGCCCTGGAATGAGTAGGTGTGTCCAAATCTTTGAATGGTACTGTACGCTTCATTCAGATGTCCTTTTCATGTTAATCTCCTATTTAACTCTTATCTAAAGTCGGCTGGCTCCAGGACTTCCTATCCAGATCATAGTTAGATCCCACATTGTCACCAGACAGACATGGGACAGCATCCAAACACAGCCTCAGCAATGCCTCAATGCCTTACAGCCTCCAGCCAAGACCAACCTGCTGAATGGATGAATGATTATATTAATACAAGTTTGCCTAAGGCTTACATCAAAGATCATATCCTAGCTCTTGACACATGGCAAACAATGTATTAGTCAACTCCTTCTTAGTGAGAAACCCCCTGCCTGTCTGGAGACGGTGTGGGTTTAGGTTTGAATTGTATGTGTATAGTATCTTAATCAATCCCTGTCTGTGGTTCTGTCCACAAGATTCCTCAGTGTGTGGAGTTGAACCCCTCATTATACTTGAGTCAGGCTGTTCCTTTGATCCAGCAGTTCAGGTGCTGACGGCTGCTTCCAGGGGGTGGCCTTGATTAGCAGCTCGTTAGAGGTTTACTGTATAAAGGTTGTGTGTGTGAGTGTGCATGTGAACGTCCTCGGCGGGGGTGGCCGAGTTCAAAGACTAACTGTAAATACAACGTTGAGTGTTGTTGGATGAGGAGAAGTTTTAGAGGAAATCACTGCCCCCTTGTGAGAGAACATAGTAGTACAAAGTCTTAAAGAACAGTACATGGAAATCATAGGTCTGCCTTGGTCAAGCAGTGGTACGGTGATAGCATACCCGACACGAAGACATGTGACTACACAGAATGGAAGAGAGGCAGTGAATACGACGGCCCAGAGCAGACTGGGTGTGTCCAGATGGGCAGACAGACAGTGGACACAGGGAAGGGTGTGTCCAGATGGGCAGACAGACAGTGGACACAGGGAAGGGTGTGTCCAGATGGGCAGACAGACAGTGGACACAGGGCAGGGTGTGTCCAGATGGGCAGACAGACAGTGGACGCAGGGAAGGGTGTGTCCAGTTTGGAGGGCAGTCTGTCTGTTTGTGATGGGCTGGCAGGCAGCATTAGGATTAGGGAACTTCCCAATCATGAAAAGTACTCAATAAAGCTGCTCAATGCGCTCTGCTCTGAGTCAGATCACTGGGTTTATCTGTAGTACGGCTACTGTGTGTGTGTGTGTATGTGTGTGTATGTGTGTGTGTTCTGAACTTCTGTTTCACATCTCTCCTCTCCCTGTGTCTCCAGCTGGCAGGTGTAGCGCGGTAGGGGGCAGTAGAGAGCATGGCTGAGCCCAGCCAGAGCCAGCCCCAGGAGAGCAGCAGTTTGCAGAGGAAGAAACCTCCATGGCTCAGAGTGGACATCCCCCCACAGCTGTCCCTGGATGAGCACTTAACATTCATACAGGTATGATGAAACACCTCTCACTCACACTCACATCTTACATTACAGATACAATGCAACTGCATAGACACTGAAAACACACTTACAAAGGTACAACACACACAATACATACAGTTACTGTAATGTGGCCTACATACAGGTACAGTTACTGTAACCTGGCCTACATACAGGTACAGTTACTGTAATGTGGCCTACATACAGATACAGTTACAGTAATGTGGCCTACATACAGGTACAGTTACTGTAATCTGGCCTACATACAGGTACAGTTACTGTAATCTGGCCTAAATACAGGTTCAATAGATGCATTGCAAGCGTACAATAGACACCAGCTACAGTAAATCCACTGAGCTATTGAGGAGCAATATCTTTTTGTTGTCTGGTGTGTGTTGCAGCCGGTCAAGAGGCAGGGGTTCCTGCGCAGTGTGAGCATGCCCGGTGAGAACACACAATCAGGCATTGCAACCTTTGACCCCAGCAATTATCTCCGACCCCCTCTGCAGCGCCAGCCCTCCATCACAGAGACCATCAAGAGGTGAGACACCACACACAATGCGTGTATCACACACCACAACATCCACTCTCCTTGCTTAACTGCTTACTACTACTGCATGCCCTGAATATATTTTCTAAACCCGGACTTTACTGTCTCTCCTTCCTCTTCTTCCAGCTGATCTGAACTCTTTTTATTGATATTTTTCCTTTTCTCTCTTTTATTTCCCACTCTCCCTCCTTTCTCTTTGTGCTTTCCTCCTTTCTCCTGCTCTGCCTACCTGCCTCCCCCCCGTCTGGTGTGTGTGTGTAGTAAGAAGAGGGTGCATTTCAAGCGGGTCAACACGGTCCCTCCTAAGGGCCAGAGGGGCCCCCGACGGGTGTCTGTACTCCGCAGGCGCTCCTGTGTCCCCAAACTGGTCACCCGGCGCTGCTCGTCCATCTCCAAACAAATCATCAAGTAAGAGAGAGAGAGGTAGGAGGGAGGGGGAGAGATAGAGAGGAAGGAGGGAGTGGAAGAGAGAGGGAGAATGGGGTTATGATTAGAATATAGGTTATTCTTTAGGTTTGTTGCCGGCTTTTTTCCTCCGCCCTTCTTTTCTTTCTCTTCTCTCTTCTTTCTTCTTTTTCTCTCTCTCTTTCCTCTTTCTTTTTCCTCCTCCTCTTCCACCTACCCCGTTCCTTAGATTAAGATCATGTGTCAATACCGTTTTAGAATCCCTTGAAGGTATCACATGACCTGTGACTGAGGAGGAATCCCTTGAAGGTCTCTCTCTCTCTCTCTCTCTCTCTCTCTCTCTCTCCTCCTCTCACCTCTCCCCCCTCTCTTCTCCCTCCCTCGTCTCTCCTCTCTCCTCTCCTCTCTCCTCTCTCCAACCTTGAAGGGTTTGGTGTGAGGTGGGGACCCCAGGTGCGGTCAGGTGGAGAGAAGGAGAGAGAGAGAGAGAGAGAGAGAGAGGAGAGGAGTAGGAGAGAGGAGTCCATCTCTCTTTATGAAGACCCCCTTTGTCTCAGCTATCTGACACAGAGAGAGAGAGAGAGAGAGAGAGAGAGAGAGAGGTCAAGGAAGAACAAGAGAGAGATAGAGAAAGGGGGAGAGGTGTGTAAAAGTGTGTTAGGAAGGTGGGAAAAGAGATTCATAGAGAGCAGATCTGTAGATCTGTTGTCCATTCCCACTGAGGATCAGGCAGCTGGAGAGAGAAGGTGGGAAGAGCTCACAACCTCAAGTTTAGAATTGAATTAAAGGAATATTAGAGAGAGAAGACAGTTTTGAGGAGAACTAGATACTGAATACTTTTAAGCGTAGTAGACGGATCACAGATCATAGCCTGGAGATTAGGGAACTGAAGAGATCCCTGGAGGAGATACAGACGAGAAGATCACACTGCGTTAAGTTGCTCTCAAGTTCAGAGAGCAAATCTAATTCTGTTGAATTCAAAGTCTGTTGGATTGCATCTCAAAGTGCGCAGTGCTGCAGGAGAAAGACAATTATTTAGGAGTCACACTGGAGGTCAGCCAGCAATGGCTTCTAGACAACACATTCTCCTAGTGTGATTATTTGGTCTGAGTATCATCAACTTTGCCAGGCCGTTTGGTTAACCGTCTCCGGGAAGAACAAACTACTAAATGGAAGTACATTTCACATCAGCACCCAGTGGATGTATAGCAGCGCTCAGCCTCAATTGACCCTTGATTGTTCTCAGCAGCTGTGAACCAGAGGTTTGCGTGGGGTCAGAGGTTGGACAGGGGTTAGGGGTGAGACCAGGACAGTATGTGGTTGTGGCTCCAGCCTGCGGCACTCTGGTGTGAGGCCTGCAGGCATGACACTCTGCCTCCTGGGACTGGGACTGACTTGACAGTTATGGGGCATTGGTGTGGGGCGGATGCTGGATAGTCCCAGGAAGAACTATGGGAAGAGTGGTGAGAGGTACGTTTAGTCCTGATTGGAAGGGAAGGGTTGGTGTGGTGGTGGTGTGGGGTGGGTGGGGGTGGTTTATGGTGGTGTTGGGATGGGTTTTTTTTTTTTTTTTTTTTTTTTTCTTTTTGGTTTTTTTTTTTTTTTTTTTTGTTTTTTTTGGTTTTTTTTTTTTTTATTTTTTTTTTGTTTTTGTTTTTTTTTTTTTTTTTTTTTTTTTTTTTTTGTTTTTTTTTCTTCTTTTTTTTTTTTTTTTATTTTTTTTTTTGTTTGGGTTTTTTTTTTTTTTTTTGTTTTTTTTTTTTTTATTTTTTTTTTTTTTTGGGGGGTTTTTTTTTTGGGGGTTTTTTGTTTTATTTGGGGGTGTTTTTGGTTTTTTTTTTTTTTTTTAGTTTTTTTGGGTTTTTTTTGATTTTTTAAAATTTAAAAAGCCTATGCTTTTATTTAAGGATTTTTAACCCTTTTTTTTTCCAATAAATTTTTTTTAAGGGTTTTTTTTGTCTTTTTATTGGTTATTATTTATTTTTTTTACTGTATAGCTTTGTTTGGATGATTTTATTGTGTTCCCCAATGGTTTAAATGGGAGCCTAAGTGATACCTTTTAAGGGGTTTTTCTTTTTCTCCCTTTCTTTGTGGGGGGTTTTTTTTGTATTCTTCCCATTGGGGCATTTTTTTATTTTTTTTTGAATTTTTTTTGGTTCAAAAATTTATTGGTTTTTTTTTTCTGTTGCCTTGGAGACTGTTACTAAAATTTTGTTGTTTTTATTTTTTGGGGGGGTTTTTTTAAAAGAGGGGGCCCCCGTAAAAAATTTTTTTTTTTTTTTTTTTTAAATTTTTTTTTTTGTTTTTTTTTTTTTTTTGTTTTTTAAATTTTTGTTTTTTCCTGTAAAATTTAAAAGTTTTTTTTTTTTGGTGAATTTTTTTTTTAAAAAGGGGTTTTTTTTATTTTTAAATTTTTTTAAAAAAGGTTTTTTTTTTTTTGTGTTTTTTTGTGAGGGGGTTTTTTTTTTTTTTTTTTTTTTTTTTTTTTTTTTTTTTTTTTTAAAATTTTGGTTTTTTTTTTTTTTTGTTAACTTAAAAGGCCTTTTCGTTTATTTGCAAGTTGAGAGATGCTTGTTTTTACGATGTTAGGTTCTGCAAAGTGACTAACATGTAATAGAACAAGGCCCTGATAGCACTGATCAGTGTGATGTAAATAAGGACGTTCAACCCTCACTAAATGTCTCTCCCAAAGCTACGCATTTCTTGCAAGGGAACAGTCCTTTGTCAGTATGCCTCTGGTAGTGGAATAATAGCAGTAGCTTCTGGCTCTACTGGCTATAGCTGTTGATTTGGATGATCTCTGATGATGTGCCATTCCCAGAATGGTTGTCAAAGTGGTAGCATAAGTGGATATCCTTTATAGGGCAGTATTTTCTTTTTGCATCTTTGTCTTTCTTTGAGTGGCAGATTTATAGCTTTTTGTATAAATAGCTAAGCTTCCCAATATGAGGTAGGCAATGACTGTGAATGTTAGAGCACACTGTGTGCCCCAGCCAACCCTACCTTGAGGATATCAAAAGCCTATTGATGTGGGCTGATGTAGTTTCAATCGTTGCCGCTTGGCAGACTGGTGTACTCATGAACCAGTTGTTGTTGTGTTATTTAGTTTGGGTGTGACTGTGACACACAGAGGGCTGCACACACACACGTCCACACACTCAAACGCAAGTAGCTCTCACAGTCTCGCGTCAGAATTATACATTCATCCATGTTTCTCAAACATTCAATTTCTAAGTTATTCCAAACATCACATTTTGAAGTTGCTCCAAATGTAACATTTCAAAGTGTTTAAGTTTAAGTTTAGGCATGAACTCCACATTTTTAAAATTAGGGTTAAATTTACATTTACATTTTACATTTACATCATTTATCAGACGCTCTTATCCAGAACGACTTACAAATTGGTGCATTCAACTTATGATAGCCAGTGGGACAACCAACCCTCCTAAACCCTCCCAACCCAAACCTGTGACCCCTCTTAAAACATTCCTGCCTCCCGGGAGGACGAATTAGTGTGGCACCTCCCTCCCTCTCTCCCGTGTCAGTGTGCAGCCTTAAAAGGCTTCCCCAGCTGGCTGGTTTCTCTCTAATGATGGAGATTGTGTTATTATTGAGTGTCCTCTACTCCCCGACCCACATCCTGCTTCTTCACAGAACACTTCTTCTATCCTCTCTGAGACACTCCTACAAACACAGATGTTCACCAGGGGCCTGGTCATCTGCCCAGGACTAACAGAGAACATCAGCTCATTCATATATGCAAGAATGAAGAAGAATGAGGACTGTAGTCTGGATTCACCTGTTTGTCACTGGGTTTTATGAGTGTGTGAACGTGCGCATGTGCTTGCGTGAGTACATGCGTGTGTGTCCATGCATTAGGGTTTTAGTGTGTGTGTCTGAGCATGGTTTTGTGTGAGTGGCATGTCAAGGCACATATTTGTCAACTGGAGTTGACTTCCTCTCTGTGTGAGTAGAACTGATGTAATCCTGCTGTACTCTGTCATCGTTTGACTGAGTGTTGACGCACAACACTAATGCCCTGGCCTGGTCAGTCCCTCCAAATGTCTCAGGCTTTACACTGGGTCAGAGTTTGAAACTGTGGGGTCAGAGGGAGTAGGGGAACACTCACATGGTGATATCCTAATCCAAATGTCAAATGACCACGTTCAATATACAAATAAACTACAAACCCACTGCCATGCCTGGGTTGCTATTATAATCTGTTTCTGTCTTTTCTGTACACTCTCTGAAAAGAAAAGAGCTCACACTCAACCCAAATACTGTCTCGTAGACAGAGTGTTTGTTTAGTGCCATTTCTCTTTTAACTCAATTTAAACTGTTATAACTGACTATTACTAACCAAGGACATCCCTGAACTGAGACTCACCTTGATCTAACCTCCTTCTCTGTCCCCTCAGGGGCACGGCAGACTGGTTCGGGGTCAGTAAGGAAAACGACAGCACCCAGCGATGGCGGAGGAAGAGCCTGCAGCACTGCAACCTGCGCTACGGCCGTCTCAAGGCCCAGGTGATGAGGGAGATGGAGCTGTCCAGCCAGGACAACCTGTCTCTAACCAGCACTGAGACCCCACCACCCCTCTACCTCCCCCCACACCACCACCACCACCCCTATGGCATGCAGAGGGTATGGCAGCGCCGCCCACAGACAGACGTTCATAGACTGTCTTTCTTTCTCTTACCATACATCTGTGCATGTGTCATGTGTTGTGTTTTGATGAAGGTGATGTGTAGTGTTTCTTTACCCAATATCAATCCTATATGCCTCCCTTGGGAACAATGACGTTATTCAATACAATTCAATATAGATATCAGAATTTATATTTCGCTTATTTCGGGTGATATAGTTCCTATGTGATGTGTATTAATACATGGAGTAATGCAACTATTATAGGTCAATCACTATGGTAACCTGCGTATTGATATGACTGTGAACTTGACCTGTCATGTAGCCACTTAGCATGTGAGTTCACCACTAAATAACCTAAAATAATATACTTGCCTCCGTGCTGTTTACTACAGCATTGGACAATACAGTGTCTGCCTCTGTGTGTGTGTGTGTGTGTGTGTAGATTGTGGACCCCCTGGCGCGGGGCCGTGCGTTCCGCCTGGTGATGGAGGTAGATGGTTACAGCGTACCCCAGACCCCCATCACCCCTGGTGCCACCTCACTCTGCTCCTTCTCCAGCTCGCGCTCCGCACTCAACAAGTTACCACGTAGACGCAAACGAGAGTCCGTTGCTGTCATGAGCTTCAAGGCCACCGCCGCGCTGGTCAAGGTGTGTGTTGCACAGACAGTGAGACAGAGGCGAAGATCAGAGTGTGTGTGGTCTGTTATCCAGTAGAGTATTGTGTATTCTATAACTGGAACATTGAACGATGCAGGGCTAATCCCGCCTCCAGAGGTCAACTATAATAACTATAATGGCCACTGTTCACAGCTGGTTGTCAGAAGTCAGAGAGGACAATAATTTGTGTTGTCTGGTCTGGGGATACTGTCTACCCTTTGTTTACTGGGTATGTTCTTGATTCTGGGTTGGGGTCAATTCCATTTCTATTTGAAATTTAGTTTACTTCCTACTGACGGAATTGAAATTGAATTGACCCGTCACACACACCAGTAATGTATTTTCATGCAATAAATGTATATCAGAGGGTATTACATTGACGGTGATGATGACAACGATGATGATGATGGTGTGTGTCAGGGCCATACGGTTTGGGAGAGGGAGGGCGCTGCCCGGCGGTGTCGCAGACGGAGCTTCATGCCAGTGAGTTTCCTGGAGGACGACACAGTGGACTTCCCTGACGAGCTGGACACCTCCTTCTTTGCTAGGGTGAGTAACACTCACATACACACAACCGTCCCATCACACATTCACCACACACACTCACACAGTTTCTCCTGGCCCTCTTCCTATCTTTTCCTCCTCCTCCTCCTCCTCCTCCTCCTCCTCCTTCATCTCCTCCTCCTTCATCTCCTCTCCTCTCCTCTCCTCTCCTCTCCTCTCCTCTCCTCTCCTCTCCTCTCCTCTCCTCTCCTCTCCTCTCCTCTCCTCTCCTCTCCTCTCCTCTCCTCTCCTCTCCTCCTCCTCCTCCTCCTCCACCTCCTCTTCTCCTCCACCTCCTCCACCTCCTCCTCCTCCTCCTTCTCCTCTCCTCCATGCAGGATGGTCTGAGGATAGGAGATGAGGAGCTGTCTACTTATGCAGACGATGTCTTTGACTCTCCGTCTGAGGCCGCCATTAAAGAGGAGGAGTCTAACACAGTTGCAGATAAGAGTGACCTCACAGGTGGCACCCTGGACAAGAACGAACTGGAGAGGAGTCACCTGATGCTGTAACTCACAGACAGACAGACACACAGACACACACACAGACACACAGACACACACACACAGACACACACACACACACACACAGACAGTAGACACACACACAGACACACACACAAACACACACACAGACAGACATACACACAGACACACACACAAACACACACACAGACACGCAGACACACAGACACACAGACACAAACACAGACACACACACAAACAGACACACAAACAGACAGACAGACAGACACACAGACACACACACACACAGACACACACACAGACACAGACAGACACACACACACACAGACACAGACACACACACAGACACAGACAGACACACAGACAGACACACAGACAGACACAAGTTGCTGCTGCTACTGGACCCTGTTTTCACCTAACACACACCCTCTTCTGACCCTCTCTCTCTCTCTCTCTCCCTCTCCTCCGCTACCATATTGTTCTCTCTCTCTCTCTCCTCCTCCTCCCTCTACCTCTCAATCGCTCCGCAGACCCCTAGAAAGAGGCTGGCGTAAGGGTAAAGAACCTGGGCCCTCTCTGGTCCAGCCCACGGTGCGTCTGCGGCAGGAGGTGGTGAGTGTGAGTAGACAGCGGCGAGGCCAGCGGATCACGGTGCCCGTCAAGAAGCTCTTCGCCAGGGAGAAGAGGCCCTACGGCCTAGGCATGGTGGGACGGCTCACCAACAGAACCTACCGCAAACGCATCGACAGCTTCGTCCAGCAACAGATAGAGGACATGGCCGACCACAGGTACACTTTATTGTCAATGAGGATTCTCAGATTCTTGAATTTCAATTTCAAGTTCAGAATTTGCTACATTGCTATGCAATTGACTTCAACTCTGGCGTGGTCACATAGTCGCACTTTAACATGGTCACGTCTAACATCTTATGATACTACAGGGGAAGAGCCCAGTCACAGCTGTAGTGTCTGAGTTGGCCCCAGATAAGATACAGCATGAGTCATCACAGGATAGTGTAAACCAGTGGTTCCCAAACATTACTGCACAATGACTCACATGAAAGCACCTTTTTTCTGTGACTGACCTGGCCTCTAGACACACCAGGACTGTGTGACTCAGTAACAGATGGCCCACTCCCAAGTCCATGTGGGAAACAATGGTGTACACAGGTGTACACTACTAACTTTTCTCCTAGTGGCTGCAGCTGTTTTCAGTGGGAAGCCCACACTGACGTACTGAGATACTGACATACTGAGATACTGAGATACTGAAATACTGAGATACTGAGATACTGACATACTGAGATACTGAGATACTGACATACTGAGATACTGAGATACTGAGATACTGACATACTGAGATACTGACATACTGAGATACTGACATACTGAGATACTGAGATACTGAGATACTGACATACTGAGATTATGAGATACTGTTTCTAACAGAGGAGGCAAGCTGCTGTACTGTCTAGGATACCGTATTAATATTGTGTGTGTGTGTGTGTGTGTGTGTGTGTGTGTGTGTGTGTGTGTGTGTGTGTGTCCCTGCAGGCCTTTCTTCACGTACTGGATCATGTTTGTCCACCTGTTGATCACCATCCTGACTGTGTGTCTCTACGGCATCGCCCCTGTGGGCTTCTCCCAGCACGAGACCGTCGACTCGGTCAGTACACTGATTTTCTGCTGTATTTTGTGTTCTAAAAGTTACAGTGACGGGTGTATCATCTTTGCTATTTTTATTTGTATTTATTTTGGATCCCCATTAGCTGTTGCCAAGGCAGCAGCTACTCTTCCTGGTGTCCAACAAAATTAAGGCAGTTCATACAATTTTAAAAACATTACAATACTTTCACAGATTTCACAACACACTGTGTGCCCTCAGGCCCCTACACCACTACCACATATCTACGGTACAAAATCCATGTGTACGTGTGTGTATAGTGCATATGTTATCGTGTGTGTGTATGCATGTGTCTGTGCCTATGTTTGTGTTGCTTCACAGTCCCCGCTGTTCCATAAGGTGTTTTTTATCAGTTTTTTAAATCTAATTTTACTACTTGCATCAGTTGCATCGTCAATTTCTCTCAGCCAATCATTTGTGTAAGTGCTGTGCTTGTTGAATGTCCTTCTCTATAAGGATGCTGAAAGTGTGTTGTCAATTTGTTTACTGTAAAATAGCTGTGATGGGTGATTTGAAGGAGTCAGGCGCAGGAGGGTAAATCACGGAATACAGAGTTTCGCAGAATTGCGTCAACAGTCCAGTGCGCAAAACAGGCGCACTGGAACCAAACAGGCACACGGGGAAAATATACCCCGGCAATACAAAATACACGAAGCTCAACCGAGCTACACTCTCCTCACACTAATCAATCACCCACAAGGACAAAGGGGCAGAGGGAACACTTATACAAGTACTATTGAGGGGATATGGTCCTCTGTAGCTCAGCTGGTAGAGCACGGTGCTTGTAACGCCAAGGTAGTGGGTTCGATCCCCGGGACCACCCATACACAAAAATGTATGCACGCATGACTGTAAGTCGCTTTGGATAAAAGCGTCTGCTAAATGTCATATTATTTATTATTATTATATGAACCAGGTGTGTGTAATAGACAAGACAAAACAAATGGAATGATGAGATGAGGAGTGGCAGTGGCTAGAAGGCCGGTGACGACAAACGGCGAAGCCTGCCCAAACCAGGAGAGGAGGCAGCTTCGGAGGAAGTCGTGACAGTACCCCCCCATTGACGCGCAGCTCCAGCAGCGCGCCGACACCGGCCTCGGGGACAGGCAGGAGGAGGCAGAGCAGGGCGAGCCGGATGGCGACTGTGGAAATCCCTCACCGGGACCCAGCACCGCTCCTCCGGACCGTACCCCTCCCACACCACGAGGTACTGAATGCCCCCCACCCGTGCCTCGAATCCAGGATGGAACAGATGGAGTATGCCGGGGCCCCATCAATGTCCAGAGGAGGCGGAGGGACCTCCTACACCTCAGACTCCTGGAGCGGACCAGCCACCACCGGCCTGAGGAGAGACACATGGAACGAGGAGTTAATACGATAATCATGTGGGAGTAATAACCTATAGGTAACCTCGTTTATCCTCCTCAGGACTTTGAACGGCCCCACAAACCGCAGGCTCAGCTTCTGGCAGGGCAGGCGGAGGTGCAGATTCTGGGTTGAGAGCCAGACCCGATCACCCGGTATGAAGACCGGGGCCTCACTGCGGTGGCGGTCAGCATTGGCCTTCTGACAATGCACGGCGCGTTGGAGGTGGACGTGAGCAGCATTCCAAGTCTCCTCCACGGGCCGAAACCAGTCATCCACTGCAGGAGCCTCGGTCTGGCTCTGGTGCCACGGTGCCAGAACCGGTTGGTAACCTAAAACACATTGGAATGGTGTTTGGTTAGTGGAAGAGTGACGGAGAGAGTTCTGGGCATATTCGAACACCGACCACTCACCCGGCCGGTCCTGGCAGTAGGACTGCAGGAATCTACCCACATCCTGATTTACCCGTTCCACCTGCCCATTAGACTCGGGGTGACCGAGACCCCCAGACGTTCCATGAACGCCTTCCAGACCTTGGATGTGAACTGGGGACCCTGGTCAGACACTATGTCCTCTGGTACCCCGTAGTGCCGGAAGACGTGTGTAAACAGGGCCTCCGCAGTCTGCAGGACCGTGGGGAGACCGGGCAGAGGAATGAGGCAGCAGGCTTAGGAAAAGCGGTCCACAACGACCAGGATGGTGGTGTTTACCTTGAGAGAGGGGAAGATCAGTAAGGAAATCAATACTCAGGTGAGACCATGGCCGTTGTGGAACTGGTAAAGGCTGTAACTTACCCGCTGGGAGGTGCTTAGGTGCCTTACTCTGGGCGCACACTGAGCAGGAGGAGACATACACCCTCACGTCCTTAGCCAAGGTTGGCCACCAGTACTTTCCGGTCAGGCAGCGCACTGTAAGGCCGATACCTGGGTGAAAAGAGGAGGGGGACGTGTGTGCCCAGTAGACGGTCACGGACAAGAGCAGGCACGTACTGCAGCCCAGCTGGACACTGAGGTGGAGATGGCTCTGTGCGTAACGCCTGCTCTATATCCGCGTCCATCGCCCATACTACTGGCGCCACAATGCAGGAGGCCGGGAGTATGGGGGTGTTGTCTCTGGGCCTCTCCTCTGTGTCGTACAGCCGTGACAGTGCATCTGCCTTCATGTTCTTCGTACCCGGGATGTATGATAGAGTAAAATCAAACCGAGTGAAGAACAGGGCCCACCTGGTCTGGCGAGGGTTCAGCCTCCTCACTGCCCCGATGTACTCTAGGTTACTGTGGTCCATCCAGACGAGGAAATGGTGTTTCGCCCCTTCGAGCCAGTGCCTCCACACGGTCAGGGCTCGGACAACAGCCAACAGCTCCCGATCACCAACGTCGTAGTTCTGCTTCGCCGGGTTGAGCTTCTTGGAGAAGAAGGCACAGGGGCGGAGCTTGGGTGGCATGCCCGAGCGTTGAGATAGGACCGCGCCTATCCCTACCTCGGTCGCATCCACCTCCACTACGAATGGTAGTGATGGATCGTGGTGGGCCAGTACCGGGGCAGAGGTGAACAGACCCCTCAGGTTGCTAAAGGCCCTGTCAGCCTCACCAGACCAGCGGAGCCGGGATGGCCCACCCTTCAACAGAGATGTGATGGGAGCTGTGACCTTGCCAAAGCCCCGGATAAACCTCCGATAGTAGTTGGCAAAGCCAATAAACGGAGTACTTTGCGAACCAGGGACACATGCTCGGCGCACGTAGAGGAATACACCAGAATGTCATCGATGTAGACCACTACACCGCGACCAAGCATGTCCCGAAACACCTCGTTTACAAAGGACTGGAAGACGGATGAAGCGTTCATCAAACCGTAAGGCATCACCAGGTATTCATAATGCCCTGTGGTTGTGCTGAATGCTGTCTTCCACTCGTCCCCCTCTCGGACACGCACCAGGTTGTACGCACTCCGGAGATCTAATTTTGTGAAGAAGCGCACCCCATGCATTGACTCGATCACCGAAGGAATGAGGGGGAGAGGATAACTAAATCGTATCGTCCCCTTGTTCAGTGATCGGTAATCAATGCAAGGGTGCAGACCGCTGTCTTTCTTCTTCACAAAAAAATTAACTTGAGGAGGCGGGCGAAGTAGAGGGACGTATAAACCCCTGGCGTTTAGAGGGACTCGGTGACGTATGTCTCCATAGCCTCCGTTTCAGCCTGTGACAGGGGATACATATGACTCCTGGGAGGCACAGCGTCTACCCGGAGGTTTATCGCGCAATCCCCCGCCCGATGAGGTGGTAACTTGGTCGCCTGCGTTTTGGAAAACGCGTGCGCCAAATCGAGGTATTCGGGGGGAATGCGCACAGTGGAGGTACTGTCTGGACTTTCCACTATGGTTGCACCAACGGAAACACAGAGACACCTACCCTGACACTCTCGCGACCACCCCGTGAGAACCCTCTGCGGCCATGAAAATGTGGGGTTGTGGAGTGCTAACCAAGGAATACCTAACACAACAGGGAAAGCAGGAGACTCAATAATATAAAAAAAGTGACTTGCTCGCGATGAGTCTCGTGGGTAACAATAGTGACTGTTGCTGTAACCTCCCTAACGAACCCGGACCCTAATGGTCGACTGTCAAGTGCTCTGATGGGGAGTGGAATGGATAGGGGAACCAATGTAATGCCTAGACTGTGTGAAAATGACCTGTTCATAAAGTTCCCAGCTGCGCCTGAATCGACCAGAGCCTTACACTGGGGAACTACAATGTAATCAGGAAAGTGGATGGGTAGGGTACAGTGCGCAGCAGAGGGCTCTGAACGAGTGTGGGTGTACAATACCTGGGGTGACGCGAGAGTGCCCTGCCTGCCGCCTCCAGACCCAAAAGAATGCTGACGACATCGTGCAGTGAAATGTCCTCTCGTGCCACCAGAGTGACACTGGCGCTGTCGTCCTCTGCTCTCCCGAATCGCCGCTCCATCAGCTCGTGATCCGAGTCGGGCAGGGTTGGAACGGGCAGGCCCCTCCAGGACGTCCTCTGGCCACCAGCAGGTTGTCCAACCAGATGGCCATGTCCACCAGTTGAGTGAAGGACTCTCCTCTACAACATTCGGAGAGTGCGACCCTGCCTTACACAGGAAGCGGCGCAGGTCCTGGTCCAGGCACTTGTCATCTCCCGTCTGGACTACTGCAACTCGCTGTTGGCTGGGCTCCCTGCCTGTGCCATTAAACCCCTACAACTCATCCAGAATGCCGCAGCCCGTCTGGTGTTCAACCTTCCCAAGTTCTCTCACGTCACCCCCCTCCTCCGCACACTCCACTGGCTTCCAGTTGAAGCTCGCATCCGCTACAAGACCATGGTGCTTGCCTATGGAGCAGTGAGGGGAACGGCACCTCTGTACCTTCAGGCTCTGATCAGTCCCTACACCCAAACGAGGACATTGCGTTCATCCACCTCTGGCCTGCTGGCTCCCCTTCCTCTGCGGAAGCATAGCTCCCGCTCAGCCCAGTCAAAACTGTTCGCTGCTCTGGCACCCCAATGGTGGAACAAGCTCCCTCACGACGCCAGGACAGCGGAGTCACTCACCGCCTTCCGGAGACATTTGAAACCCCACCTCTTTAAGGAATACCTGGGATAGGATAAAGTATTCCTTCTAACCCCCCCCCCCCCCCCCCAAATTGTAAAGTGGTTATCCCACTGGCTATAGGGTGAACGCACCAATTTGTGAGTCGCTCTGGCTAAGAGCGTCTGCTAAATGACGTTAATGTGCCCTTGAGCAAGGCACTTAACCCTAATTGCTCCTGTAAGTCGCTCTGGTTAAGAGCGTCTGCTAAATGACTAAAATGTAAATGTAAATGTAAGGACAACATGGTGTCCCGGCAGGCTAGCTCCCTTCGGACGTCTTCCTGCAGATGGCACCGGAAGTGGTCGATGAGGGCCCACTCGTTCCACCCGGACCCAGCTGCTAGAGTCCGGAACTCCAGGGCGAACTCCAGGGTCCTCGTCCCCTGCTTCAGGTGGACCAGCCGCTCGCCCGCCTCTCGACCCTCGGGCGGGTGATCGAAGACAGCCCGAAAGAGACGAGCGAACTCCCCGTAGTTGTCCAACGCAGCTCCTCCTTCATTCCAGACCCCGTTGGCCCACTCCAGGGCTTTCCCCGAGAAGCAGGAGACGAGGGCGGACACCTTCTCCCGCTCCGATGGGGCCGGGCTGATACTGGAATAGTAGAGCTCCAGTTGGAGGAGGAATCCCTGGCAGAGAGCAGCTGTCCCGTCGAAATCCCGTGGTCGTATATATGGATCCCTCTGGTTGCTGGGGTGTGTGTGGCTGGATCTGGTCGCCCAGCTGGTCCCGATAGATCGGGTCCTCTCCTCTCCAGGGGTTGGACGACCTGGAGAACCCGATCCATCGCTTCTCCCAAGCTGGCTAGTATCATCGAATGCTCCTGGACCCGTGCACGACTCCAGGCATGCGCTCCTTTCCTGTTGACTCCATTACGGGTGGGTGATTCTGTGATGGGTGATTTGAAGGAGTCAGGCACAGGAGGGTAAATCACAGAATACAGAGTTTATTCCGGAATACAGAGTTACGCAGAATTGCGTCAAACAGTCCAGTGTGCAAAACAGGCGCTCTGGAACCAAACAGGCACACAGGGAAAATATACCCCGGCAATACAAAATACATGGAGCTCAACCGAGCTACACTCTCCTAAGCAATCACCCACAAGGACAAGGGGGCAGAGGGAACACTTATACATGTACTAATGAGGGGATATAAAACAGGTGTGTGTAATAGACAAGACAAAACAAATGGAATGATGAGATGAGGAGCACCAGTGGCTAGAAGGCCGGTGATGACGAACGCCGAAGCCTGCCCGAACCAGGAGAGGAGGCAGCTTCAGAGGAAGTCGTTTTCCAATAGTTTACTAAGGGTTGGTAACAGGCTAATTGGTCGGCTATTCGAGCCAGTAAATGGGGCTTTACTATTTTTAGGTAGCGGAATGACTTTTGCTTCCCACCAAGCCTGGGGGCACACACATTCTAGTAGCCTTAAATTGAAAATATGGCTAATAGGAGTGGCAATATTGTCCGCTATTATCCACAGTAATTTTCCATCCAAGTTGTTAGACCCCGGTGGCTTGTCATTGTTGATAGACAACAATACTTTTTCAACCTCTTCCACACTCACTTTACGGAATACAAAATTACAATGCTTGTCTTTCATAATTTGGTCAGATATACTTGGATGTGTAGTGTCAGCAATTGTTGCTGGCATGTCATGCCTAAGTTTGCTAATCTTCCCAATGATAAAATCATTAAAGTAGTTGGCAATATCAGTTGGTTTTGTGATGAATGAGCCATCTGATTCAATGAATGATGGAGCTGAGAATTCCTTTTTTCCAAAATGTCATTTAAGGTGCTCCAAAGCTATGAAGGTTGTGCCTTATGTGATAAGTGATCCATTGAATCAATGTGTTATGTCTTTGCATTTTACTTTGTAAAACCTTTGGCTTTTCCACTCTCTCTCTTTAGGTTTTGAGAAATAAAGGTGTTTATGAAAATGTCAAGCTTGTGCAACAAGAAAACTTTTGGGTGGGACCAAATTCGGTAAGTGTAGATTTTTTAGGCTAATGGACTAATTTGATCATTTAAACCTCAATGTCAGCTGTGAGACCTTGTCTTTGTTCTGACTGCACATCCTCCCCCTGGCCTGCAGGAGGCGCTGATCCATCTGGGGGCTAAGTTCTCCCCTTGCATGCGTCAGGACCAACAGGTCCATGACCTGATCCAGGAGAAGAGAGGAAGAGAGAGGGAGTCAGCCTGCTGTGTGAGGAACGACCGCTCCGGCTGTCTCCAGACCTCACAGGAGGAGTGCTCTGTGAGTTACCCTGGTGTTACACTAATGTTAGTCATGTAATGGTTAATGTCCTACGAGATCTGATATCTCTCTCTCTCTCTCTCTCTCTCTCTCTCTCTCTCCTCTCTAACCACTTATATATATAATATGTTAGATATAGCTATGTAATCTTAATATATTAGGCGATATATGATCCTATATTGATATATTATAGTCTAGATATCTCTCTCTCTATTCGCTCTATAGATACTATCTCTCTATAAAAGTATAGAATATTATAATATAATCATCTTAGCCACTATCTATCGCATATCTCTGTCATCTCTGTCGCTCTCTCGACTCTCTTCCTCATCTCTCTCCTCTCTTCTCTCGCTCTTTAATCTCTGCTACATACGACTTCTTCTTCCTCTATCTTCTTCTCTCGCCTCTTGCCTTCTATCTCTCTCTCTGTCTCTTGTCACATCTCCGCTCTCTCTCTACTATTATATCCTCTCTCTCTATATCCTGTTCTCTACTCTCTCTCTCCTTCTCTCTCTTCTCTCTTCTTCCTTGCACTATCTCTCTCTCTCGTCAGTCACTCTCTTGCACGCTCTCTCGTTCTCTCATCGTCTCTCTCTCCTCTTCTCTCGCTCTCTCTAACTCTCTCGCCCTCTCGCACTATCTCTTCTCGCACTCGTCGTCTTCGTTCTCTCCCTCTTGCCTTCTCTCTCTGCTCTGTGTCTCTCTGGTCACTTTCGTCTCTCTACCTCTCTCTCTTCCTCTCTCACCCTCTCGCCTTCTCTCTCACCTCTCTCTCTCACCTCTCTCTCTCTCTCTCTGTCGCTCTCTCGCTCTCTCGCTCTCTCTCTCTCTCCTCTCTCTCTCTGTCGCTCTCTCGCACTCTCTCTCTCTCTCTCCTCTCTCTCGCTCTCTCTCTCTCTCTCTCTCTCTCTCTCTCTCTCTCTCTCTCTCTCTCTCTCTCTCTCTCTCTCTCTCTCTCTCTCTCTCTCTCTCTCTCTCTCTCTTTCTTTCTCTCTCTCCAGTCTACTCTAGCAGGGTGGGTGAAGTGGCCTTATCACCCCAGTGCTCCTCTACTGGAGGGGAAGGTCCGTCAGCATGGCTCAGTCTGCCACCAGGACCCCAGGTAATACACTGCTTCTCTCTGTTCCTCTCTTCTTCTATACAGTGCCTTGCAAAAGTATTCATCCCCCTTAGCTTTTTTCCTATTTTGTTGCATTACAACCTGTAATTTAAATGGATTTTTATTTGGATTTCATTTAATGGACATACACAAAATAGTCCAAATTGGTGAAGTTAAATGAAAAAAATAGTCCCAGAGTCTGCAACACCACTAAGCAAGGGGCACCACCAAGCAAGTGGCACCATGAAGACCAAGGAGCTCTCCAAACAGGTCAGGGACAAAGTTGTGGAGAAGTACAGATCAGGGTTGGGTTATAAAAAAATATCAGAAACTTTGAACATCCCACGGAGCACCATTAAATCCATTATTTAAAAAATTGAAAGAATATGGCACCACAACAAACCTGCCAAGAGTGGGCCACCCACCAGGCAAGGAGGGCATTAATCAGACAGGCAACAAAGAGACCAAAGATAACCCTGAAGGAGCTGCAAAAGGCATGTGGGAGACTCCCCAAACATATGGAAGAAGGTACTCTGGTCAGATGAGACTAAAATTGAGCTTTTTGGCCATCAAGGAAAACGCTATGTCTGCCGCAAACCCAACACCTCTCATCAACCCGAGAACACCATCCCCACAGTGAAGTATGGTGGTAGCAGCATCATGCTGTGGGGATGTTTTTCATCGGCAGGGAGTGGGAAACTGGTCAAAATTGAAGGAATGATGGATGGCGCTAAATACAGGGAAATTCTTGAGGGAAGCCTGTTTCATTCTTACAGAGATTTGAGATGGGACGGAGTTTCACCTTCCAGCAGGACAATGACCCTAAGCATACTGCTGAAGCAACACTCGAGTGGTTTAAGGGGAAACATTTAAATGTCTTGGAATGGCCTAGTCAAAGCCCAGACCTCAATCCAATTGAGAATCTGTGGTATGACTTAAAGATTGCTGTACACAAGTGGAACCCATTCAAATTGAAGGAGCTGGAGCAGTTTTGCCTTGAAGAATGGGCAAATATCCCAGTGGCTAGATGTGCCAAGCTTATAGAGACATACCCCAAGAGACTTGCAGCTGTAATTGTTGCAAAAGGTGGCTCTACAAAGTATTGACTTTGGGGGGGTGAACTTTCCCCCTTCTGATAACCAGGTGGCGAATCGCATCTCTGCATGTCTGGCAGACATATCAGTGTGGATGTCGGATCACCACCTCAAGCTGAACCTCGGCAAGACGGAGCTGCTCTTCCTCCCGGGGAAGGACTGCCCGCTCCATGATCTCGCCATCACGGTTGACAACTCCATTGTGTCCTCCTCCCAGAGTGCAAAGAACCTTGGCGTGACCCTGGACAACACCCTGTCGTTCTCCGCTAACATCAAAGCGGTGACCCGATCCTGCAGGTTCATGTGGTCCTCTGTAGCTCAATTGGTAGAGCACGGTGCTTGTAACGCCAGGGTAGTGGGTTCGATCCCCGGGACCACCCATACGTAAAAATGTATGCGCACATGACTGTAAGTCGCTTTGGATAAAAGCGTCTGCTAAATGGCATATTATTATGCTCTACAATATTCGCAGAGTACGACCCTACCTTACACAGAAAGCAGCACAGGTCCTAATCCAGGCACTTGTCATCTCCTGTCTGGATTACTGCAACTTTCTGTTGGCTGGGCTCCCTGCCTGTGCCATTAAACCCCTACAACTTATCCAGAACGCTGCAGCCCATCTGGTGTTCAACCTTCCCAAGTTCTCTCATGTCACCCCACTCCTCTGCACACTCCACTGGCTTCCACTTGAAGCTTGCATCTACTACAAAACCATGGTGCTTGCCTACGGAGCTGTGAGGGGAACGGCACCTCCTTACCTTCAGGCTCTGATCAGACCCTACACCCAAACGAGGGCACTACGTTCATCCACCTCTGGCCTGCTAGCCCCCCTACCTCTACGGAAGCACAGTTCCCGCTCAGCCCAGTCAAAGCTATTCGCTGCTCTGGCACCCCAATGGTGGAACAAGCTCCCCCACGACGCCAGGACAGCGGAGTCACTGACCACCTTCCGGAGACACTTGAAACCCTACCTCTTTAAGGAATACCTGGAATAGTCTAACAGTAATCCTTCTACACTCCCCCTCCCCCAGTGGTGGTTGTCCCACTAGCAATCCTAAATTGAATGCACCAATTTGTAAGTCGCTCTGGATAAGAGCGTCTGATAAATGACTTAAATGTAAATGTAGTTATGCACGCTCAAGTTTTTTGTTTTTCGTCTTATTTCTTGTTTGTTTCACCCAAAAAAATATTTTGCATCTTAAAAGTGGTAGGCATGTTGTGTAAATCAAATGATACAAACCCCCCCAAAAATCACTTTAATTCTAGGTTGTAAGGCAACAAAATAGGAAAAATGCCAAGGTGGGTGAATACTTTCGCAAGCCACTGTATATCCTCTTTCCTCTGTTCCGCTCCTTCCAGGATCTGCCTGGAGCCAGCCTCTGTATCACCTCACAAGTGGCCTGATGACATCACCAAGTGGCCAGTGTGTACCAGGTACAACCCAGGCAACCACACTAACCTCCCCCACGTAGACTGTGCAATCACCGGACGGCCCTGCTGCATCGGGACCAAAGGGAGGTAATGACGCTCTGTTTGTTCAGTCCCCTCAGTCTCTGCAGCTATACGTTGTTGCTGAGATGATGTTGTGATGTAATCCTGTGGGTTGTGTGTGCAGTATGCTATAAGTTGTTCATGTTGTAACAACGTTGTGTGTTTTTTGTAATAATGTAATGTCTTGTGTGTTCAGGTGTGAGATCACGTCCAGAGAGTACTGTGACTTTATGAAGGGCTACTTCCACGAGGAGGCTACCCTCTGCTCCCAGGTGGCCTGTCTGAATGATGTGTGTGGCCTGCTGCCTTTCCTCAACCCTGAGATCCCAGACCAGTTCTACAGACTCTGGCTCTCTCTATTCCTCCATGCTGGGTGAGACTGGAACAGATTCACAGAATCACAGTGTCTCAGGTCCCTCATGGTGTTGTGTCTCTATCAGGGTAATGTATAATGTGTAACGTGTTTGTGTGTGTGTGTGTGTGTGTGTGTGTGTGTGTGTGTGTGTGTGTGTGTGTGTGTGTGTGTGTGTGTGTGTGTGTGTAGGATCCTGCACTGCCTGGTGTCGGTGCTGTTCCAGATGACCATTCTGAGGGATTTAGAGAAGCTGGCCGGCTGGCTGAGGATCTCTATCATCTACATCGTCTCTGGAATCACTGGAAACCTGGCCAGCGCCATCTTCATCCCCTACAGAGCTGAGGTAAATACTGTAGAGACACTGTACCATAGAAATCTGCCCTACAGAGCTGAGGTAAATACTGTAGATACACTGTACCGTAGATACCTGCCCTTCAGAGCTGAGGTAAATACCATAGATACCTGCCCTACAGAGCTGAGGTAAATACTGTAGATACCTGCCCTACAGAACTGAGGTAAATACTGTAGATACACTGTACTGTAGATACCTGCCCTACAGATTTGAGGTAAATACCTTAGATACACTGTACCATAGATACCTGCCCTACAGAGCTGAGGTAAATACTGTAGATACCTGCCCTACAGAGCTGAGGTAAATACTGTAGATACACTGTACTGTACATTTACATTTACGTCATTTAGCAGACGCTGTAGATACCTGCCCTACAGAGTTGAGGTATATACCGTAGATACACTGTACAGTAGATACCTGCCCTACAACGCTGATGTAAATACTGTAGATACACTGTTCAGTAGATACTTGCCCTACAGAGCTGAGGTAAATACTGTAAATAAACTGTACCATAGATATTTGCCCTACAGAGTTGAGGTAAATACCGTAGATACCTGCCCTACAGAGCTGAGGTAAATACTGTAGAAACCTGCCCTACAGAGCTGAGGTAAATACTGTAGATACACTGTCCAGTAGATACCTGCCCTACAGAGTTGAGGTAAATACCGTAGATACCTGCCCTACAGAGCTGAGGTAAATACTGTAGATAACTGCCCTACAGAGCTGAGGTAAATACTGTAGATACTTGCCCTACAGAGCTGAGGTTAAATCTGTAGATACCTGCCCTACAGAGCTGAGGTAAATACTGTAGATACCTGCCCTACAGAGCTGAGGTAAATATTGTAGATACCTGCCCTACTGAGCTGAGGTAAATACTGTAGATACCAGCCCTTCAGAGCTGATGTAAATACTGTAGATACCTGCCCTACAGATCTGAGTTATATACTGTAAATACCTACCCTACAGAGCTGAGGTAAATAACGTAGATACTGCCCTACAGAGCTCAGGTAAATAAGTAGATACCAGCCCTACAGAGCTGAGGTAAATAATGTAGATACCTGCCCTACAGAGCTGAGGTATATACTGTAGATACCTGCCCTACAGAGCTGAGGTAAATACCGTAGATACCTGCCCTGCTGAGCTGAGGTAAATACTGTAGATACCTGCCCTACAGAGCTGAGGTAAATACTGTAGATACCTGCCCTACAGAGCTGAGGTAAATAATGTAGATACATGCCCTACAGAGCTGAGGTAAATACTGTAGATACCTGCGCTACAGAGCTGACGTAAATACTGTAGATACCTGCCCTACATTGCTGAGGTAAATACCGTAGATACCTGCCCTGCAGAGCTGAGGTAAATACTGTAGATAGCTGCCCTACAGAGCTGAGGTAAATACCATAGATACCTGCACTACAGAGCTGAGGTAAATACCTGTAGATACCTGCCGTACAGAGTTGTTGTAAATAGTGTAGATACCTTCCCTAGAGAGCTGAGGTAAATGCTGTAGATACGCTGTATAGTAGATACCTGCCCTACAGAATTGAGGTAAATACCGTAGATACACTGTACTGTAGATACCCGCCCTACAGAGCTGAGGTAAATACTTTAGATACACTGTATCATTGAAATCTGCCCTACAGAGCTGAGGTAAATACTGTAGAGACACTGTACCGTAGATACCTAACCTACAGAGCTGAGGTAAATACCATAGATATCTGCCCTACAGAGCTGAGGTAAATACTGTAGATACCTGCCCTACAGAGCTGAGGTAAATACTGTAGATACACTGTACCGTAGATACCTGCCCTACAGAGCTGAGGTAAATACTGTAGATACACTATACTGTAGATACCTGCCCTACAGAGTTGAGGTAAATACCGTAGATACACTGTACCGTAGATACCTGCCATACAGAGCTGAGGTAAATACTGTAGATACACCGTACCATAGATACCTGACCTACAGAGCTGAGGTACATACCTATAGATACCTGCTCTAGAGAGCTGATGTAAATACTGTAGATACCTGCCCTATAGAGCTGAGGTAAATACTGTAGATAGACTGTACAGTAGATACCCGCCCTACAGAGCTGAGGTAAATACCATAGATACCTGCCCTACAGAGCTGAGGTAAATACTGTAGATACCTGCCCTACAGAGCTGAGGTAAATACTGTAGATACACTGTACTGTACATTTACATTTACATTTACGTCATTTAGCAGACGCTGTAGATACCTGCCCTACAGAGTTGAGGTATATACCGTAGATACACTGTACAGTAGATACCTGCCCTACAACGCTGAGGTAAATACTGTAGATACACTGTTCAGTAGATACTTGCCCTACAGAGCTGAGGTAAATACTGTAAATAAACTGTACCATAGATATTTGCCCTACAGAGTTGAGGTAAATACCGTAGATACCTGCCCTACAGAGCTGAGGTAAATACTGTAGAAACCTGCCCTACAGAGTTGAGGTAAATACCGTAGTACCTGCCCTACAGAGCTGAGGTAAATACTGTAGATACACTGTGCAGTAGATACCTGCCCTACAGAGTTGAGGTAAATACCGTAGATACCTGCCCTACAGAGCTGAGGTAAATACTGTAGATAACTGCCCTACAGAGCTGAGGTAAATACTGTAGATACTTGCCCTACAGAGCTGACGTTAAATCTGTCGATACCTGCCCTACAGAGCTGAAGTAAATACTGTAGATACCTGCCCTACAGAGCTGAGGTAAATATTGTAGAAACCTGCCCTACTGAGCTGAGGTAAATACTGTAGATACCAGCCCTTCAGAGCTGATGTAAATAAGAGCTTTTTTGGGGGGGCTAAAAGGGTGGTTGGCGGAGCCTAGTGTTAGAGCAGAGCCAACTCCCCGTACTCACGCGAGGAAGCGTGTGACTGGGCAGGCTCCGTGTTATGCGGAGCTACGTACTCTGTCGCCAGTGTTCCGGCACAGTCCTGTACGTCCTGTGCTAGCACCACGCACGTGTCGTGCGAAGATGGTCATTCAGCCAGGACGGGGTGTGCCGGCTCAACGCTCCTGGTCTCCAGTACGCCTCCTCGGTCCCGCATATCCTGCGCCTGTTCTACAAGCTGTATCGCCAGTGCGCGTGCACAGCCCAGTGCGTCCTGTGCCAGCGCCCCGCATGTGTAGTGCGAAAGTGGGCAGCCAGCCAGGACGGGTTGTGCCAGCTCTCCGCTCCAGACCTCCAGTCCGCCTTCGCAGTCCGGTCCGGCCCGTTCCTGCTCCTCGCACCAAACCAGTGGTGCATGTTCCCAGACCGGCCCGGCCTGTTCCTGCTCCTCGCACCAAGCCAGTGGTGCGCGTCGCCAGCCCGGTCCGGCCTGTTCCTGCTTCTCGCACCAAGCCAGTGGTGCGCGTCGCCAGCCCGGCCCGGCCTGTTCCTGCACCTCGCACCAACCCAGTGGTGCGCGTCGCCAGCCCGGCCCGGCCTGTTCCTGCCCCTCGCACCAAGCCAGTGGTGCGCGTCGCCAGCCCGGCCCGTCCTGTTCCTGCCCCTCGCATCAAGCCAGTGGTGCGCGTCGCCAGTCCGGTCCGGCCTGTTCCTGTCCTTCGCACCAAGCCAGTGGTGCGCGTCGCCAGCCCGGCCTGGCCTGTTCCTTCACCTTGCACCAAGCCAGTGGTGCGCGTCGCCAGCCCGGTCCGGCCTGTTCCTGTCCCTCGCACCAAGCCAGTGGTGCGCGTCGCCAGCCCAGCCCGGCCTGTTCCTGCCCCTCGCACCAAGCCAGTGGTGCGTGTTCCTAGTCCGGTCCAGGCCGTGCCTGCTCTTCGCACCAGACCAGTGGTGCGGGTGTCCAGTCCGGCATGGCCCGTGCCTGTTCCACCGGTGCCTGGTCCGGCACCGGTCAGCTGCTCCACTCCGGAGCCAGAGCAGTCCGCTCCACCGGGGTCCAGTCCAGATCCGGTCAGCGATCCACTCCGGAGCCAGAGCAGTCCGCTCTACCGGTGCCTAGTTCAGCTCCGGTCAGCTGCTCCACTCCGGAGCCAGAGCAATCCGCTCCACCGGGATCCAGTCCAGCTCCGGTCAGCGGCTCCACTCCGGAGCCAGAGCAGTCCGATCCACCGGTGCCTGATCCAGCTCCGGTCAGCGGCTCCACTCCGGAGCCAGAGCAGTCCGCTCCACCGGTGCCTGATCCAGCTCCGGTCAGCGGCTCCACTCCGGAGCCAGAGCAGTTCGCTCCACCGTCGTCGGGTCCAGCTCCAGTCAGCGGTTCCAGTCCAGACCCAGACGTCAGCCCCTCTCCAGGTTCGGGGTCTCCCACACCAGGGTCCAGACAGGGCTTGGTACTTCGTGGGAGGAAGGAGAGGGGAAGCAGCGCGCCGAGGTCCAGACCAGACCAGGGGCGCAACAGGGAGGTGGAGAGTAAGTGGTGGTCACGCCCGGAGCCGGATCCGCCTCCGAGGCGGAATGCCCACCCGGCCCCTACCCTGTTATGTTTATGTGGCGCGGTCGGAGTCCGCACCTTTGGGGGGGGGGTTCTGTCACGCCCTGACTCAGGGGACTCGTATATGTTGAGTCAGGGTGTGTATGTTCTATGTTGTGATTTTCTATGTTTGAATCTAGTATGTCTATTTCTATGTTGGCCGGTGTGGTTCCCAATCAGAGGCAGCTGTCGCTCGTTGTCTCTGATTGGGGACCATACTTAGGCAGCCTATTGGCACTAGTGGGTTGTGGGATCTTGTTCCGTGTTAAGGTATGTTGTGTTGTGCTGCCTTGGACTTCACGAATCGTTTGTTTATTGTTTTGTCGTTGTGTTTATTCGTTAATAAACATGTATGCATATCACGCTGCGCCTTGGTCCGTCCCGTCTATAAGCGAATGTGACAGATTTACATTTACATTTACGTCATTTAGCAGACGCTGTAGATACCTGCCCTACAGAGTTGAGGTATATACCGTAGATACACTGTACCATAGATACCTGCCCTACAGAGCTGAGGTAAATACTGTAGATACACTGTACTTTAGATACCTGCCCTACAGAGTTGAGGTAAATACCGTAGATACACTGTACCGTAGATACCTGCCCTACAGAGCTGAGGTAAATACTGTAGATACAC